GATTCGATCTATACTTGTTTGCTGTGCGCATAACAAGTAATTCTAGGCTAATAACGGAATAAGAACACATAACGTTTTCAAAAACGGATATCATGGTTAGTAGAGCCGATCTTCGAATCGGGCGAGAAGGGGTGCTCATAGCTGACCTTCCCCAATCGTACCCAAGTTCCGAGCCGAGGCAACTTTGGTGATGACGGACACGTGGCCTTAGGCAAACGAGTCAGGGTTTCCTAAATTTTCCAAAATAAATATTTAGGTGGCGACTCTGTATCTGGAAAAGCAGTCCATGTTTGGCACTTCTTTCAAAAAGTCTGTTTTCAAAAACGATTTTCCATAGTTGGACTCTTTGATGATTCATCGGTCTTGCATTGCACTCTGCGAGATTAGATACAGGACCGTGACACCAATTGAGTCCGAACTGTAGCATGAGGCCCGAGGGCCCGTCTACAGTGTGTAGCCAAGTTCGCCCCATGATGAGGTTATATGGCGAAAGGGAGCTGACAACCATGAATTCCACATCCAGCTGTTTGGAAGCCCGCCCGAATGGATAAACGTGATTTTCCCCAACGGGTACCCTGGATTTGCGTTGAAGCCGAAAATGGATGAGGAGTCGGAGACAGGTCTGATTTACTGAAGCCGAGTTGAGAAATGGTCTCGTAGTACATGACCTCCGAAGTGCTTCCCTGGTCTATGAGGACGCGTTCGACGGTCAATCGATTCACGTGTAGTTCATGACCAATGGATCAATATAGGGGAGCGTTATGTCGATAATCGGAAGTGTCGAAGATGATACTCGGAGCTTTGTGCGGATGTTTTCGCTTGTGTGCGTTGCTTCTGGGGGCTGAATGAATTGTGTGTATGGTACATGGCGTTGGAAGGCTGTATATCATATGTATAACGCCGAGGGGAGGTGACTCCTGTCAAAGGCAATAGTTTTGATTGTGCTCTTCCGGACGTGTTGCTGGAGCTGACCATCTTGCCACAATCCTCGAGGTGGTCTTTCAAGGCATAGAAACTGTCCGTATCATGACCATGATCTTTGTGATATTAACAAACGCCTGTCCCGCCTTCTCGTGTCAGGAGGTCCTACATCTTGGACGGCCATCTAAAGAATGGAAGATGTTGGATTTTTGGTCATAATCGAGCTGATAGGCTCTGACAGCTTCGTATATTTCTTGTTGATGCGCTTTGTGCGCCTGCTACGGACCTGCAGTTGCTCATTTGCCTGTGCGAGCATTGATCGCTGGATTGGCTAGAGTCCTCTCCTGCTCGTTTAGCCCGTTATTGTGGCTCGGGCTTTGAGGTGGTGCGAACTTATTGCTGCGCAATTTCGGGAGGGCTTTTTGTTTTTCCACGTGTCCGGCATTAACCCGCAAGGCGTCATCTTCCACTTTGCAGTATTCCTCTACTTTCTTCATCGACCCCCAGACTGTTTGGGGTCTTCTAGTCAAGGAACTGCAGAGGACACTATTTGGTGTAATCCCATTTTGAAGGCGTGATGGCCATGGAGTCGTTATAAGCATCGTCAACAAGATTAAAGCATTCCCAATATCACGCCGAATATGCTCTTAGTGTTTCTCCTGGCAGGATTTGCATTGCCAGAGAGAGTCGGCTTGCTTCGGCTGGACTTCGTTGGTGATGAATCTGGCCCTGAAGGTTTTTAGTTGGGGAAGGTTTTGATCGAAGCTGGCTCCAGTTAATACAACCTGACCGCCAATGGTCCCAAACTGCTGGGAAATTTCGGCACATGAGGGCCTTCTCGTCTGCATGCAATGTCATGGCCTGCTTGTAGTGGCGGATGTGGCGGTGGGTCTGATTTTCGTCGTACAAGGTGAACGATGGTGCTTTGAATTCTTGGGTAGCGCAACCTTTGCAATCCGTTCATGCGAAGGGTCGTGTTGGTCTTCGTCCAAAAAACTATCCTTCTTCTCTTGTGCATTTCACGGGACTTTCTTCGGAAGAACTGGTGGTTTCGTGTCGTCCCTTCTTCCTGGGCTCTGGAGATAATGAGTTAGAGTCGCTGTCAGTGTCTTGTCGTGCTCGAGGTTGTCGACCACCTGCCTTCGGAGGTTGTTCTAGATTTGGATGGCGCTTGCTTGGACTTTGTCATTTCAAGGCCAAATCTTCATGAAGACGTTCGTTCTCAACGATCATGTTTTCTAACCTTTGTTCATTTTGCTTTGCTTGTTCCCATGATCGCCTAACATTGTCTCGTGCTCCGAAGTCGAGGGTGAGGCGAAATTCAAGGCACATCTTGCGGCGATAGTCTCTGTTCCAAGCAAGTTTGTTGAGGTGGTTTCCTCTTGCGGTATAGGGTCGATAGTGACTGTCGGAGGATCTTCCGTCACGCTCGCCATGGATGTGCTTGAGTATTCCATAGACGGCGCCAATTGTGGGAGAAGTGGTTTGGAATACTCTTCTGATCCTGGGGACAGCTCGTGATCCTCTTTTGGTCACCTGAAAAGGATATACACTCCGGCGGGGGTGCCGGAATTAGCACTCTGACGGACAAGTCAGTCACCACACTCAGGAAATACTTATATTCTAAGTTAAGCACTACAATTCTCACATACCTTTCTTAGTATGTTGTTCCTTTATTTATACTTGTTTCCTGGGGCTCATGGCCAGGCCCACCTTGTCGCTCATCCTCTCTTCAATTACTCGGCTCATGGTTAAGTATCTGTTCGGCCATCTGTTATATTCGGCGTCCTTATCGTGCAGAAGTAGAGTCGTGTTAATATATTCTTCAAGAGTATGGTTTTGATTATTCCAGTTATTCAGCTCCCATGCACCAAAGCAATCCCTCCATACACGTGTATGGAGACGAGTCTAATGTCTCCAGCTCCCCAAAAAGGTGCCGAAAAGCAGCCGACCATTGAAGTGGTCGGCCAGCTAGTTTTAGAATGGTCGGCCGACCACTTTACGTGGTCAACCAGAGCAAAAATTGGTCGGCCATAGGTGGGAGAGGTCAAACTCTAAATGCAAGGTGGTGGTGTGGTCAGCGACCAAAAAAGATGGTCCAAAGACAAAGAAAGCCACTTATTTGGCCAGAAAACTAGCTGGAAAAAGAGAAAGTGGTCTCCAAAGAGAAATACTGGTCTCCCACCCTTGTACCACCTTCCAAAAGGAAAACAAGGTTTGTACAAAAACAAACCAAAGCGGATGCAAGACGAGAAATCTGGAGGCGAAACAGCGGCAAAAAACCGCGAAAACTAGCTGACGAGCATCAAAAGTGGTTACACAACAAAAGTGGTCTCCCGACCACAATGTTCCTCTCGTAGAGGCAACAAGGTGTGGTTCAAAAAAACACTCTAAACGGAGAATGTTAAGCGGTCCCGAGACAAGGCGCGCGGCCAAAGCCTCCAAAATCGGAAAGTAGTCTTCAAACGGGAAAAGTGGCATACGACCACAAAAAGTAGTCTAAGACGACAGAGAGATGGTCAGCAAAGACCACTCCTCCCTCCGGGGAAGAGAAAAACAAGTTCGGTCACCAAACCGAGCCGAAGCACAAAAGAGTTCAGAGGCCCGGAGCAAGGCTCTCAGCCAAAACTCTGAAACCTCTAAACGAGACACACATGGACATCACCGAGCACTCAATCGATGACGTCTGAGTCTTAAGGTCAGTTAAAAATGGGTGTCTACAGCCGCATTGAAGTGGTTTGTGTAAGAAAGTGATCAAGATAACAAGAAGCTTGAAATGCCCAACACCCTGCGGGGGATACTTCTGATGAGGGAGCAATCAAAACGAAGCGGATAACTATTTGTCGACTGCCGAAGGTGCATGGTGGGAGGATGATGATCTGTTTTTGGCCCACAATGATAAAGATTGGGGTGAAGACCGACTAGACAATACTTGATATTTTGAGAGGTTGACAATATGACAAGAAGCGGGCGTATTTCAAACCCCACACTTGACAAAGATGAAGCCTCCGGGAAAGATAAAGGTCAAAGAAACAAAAAAGAAAAAAGTGTTAGAAGAAGAGGCGGTGCTGAAACAACTGAAGAAAATTCAGGCCGATATTTCAATTTGGGGTCTGTTTATGGCTTCTCGATTGGATCGACAGGTTGTATTATTAGCAATGGATAAAGCCAAATTTTCCATTGACATGACTCCTAAACAACTTGGGGGGTTACTCTTCCCAGGGCGCTACACCACTCTAACCTGATCAGACCAGGAACTAACGCCAAAAGCTCAGCATACAACAAGCCTCTGTGCATATCAGTGAGTGCAGAGAAAAGTGGGTACCAAGGCATTCGGTCTACGCCGAGTAGCAATCAACGTCTGCCCATCTCGCACAGCTTACGCCATTGGCCTCAAACCAGCAGATTTCATACCTACAGGCCAGGTGATTCGGGTATGACAGTACGAGCAGAGAGGTGATGGGCACAGTACAGATCGGAGTTCAAGTGGCCCCAACTTAAAAGGATATGAGTTCATGTCCTGGACATGCCGACATCTTTCAATCTATTGCTAGGGAGACCTTGCTTACACTAAGTGAAAGCTGTCTTCTACCCTCCATCAATAGCTGAAATATCCCTGGGAAGGAGGTGGCTATTGTGTTCAGAATTCATCTATACATCCTCCGCCAGAGATTAAACTATACCTGTGTTGGAATTGTTCATGGCAAGGAGATGTATTTCCTTTCAGAGTTCACTGTAGCTGAGCCAGCATGTGCAAACCATCTTGCAGCTGACCAGGGCTTGTATGTCAGCGCCCAACATTCTATTTCATGAACAAGCTTTCACATTGTGCCAGGAATGGATTGGGGAGTGGTGCCAGAAAGGCATTACGCATTGGCCGATGTGCCAATAATCACATGACTTTGGTCTTGGCTATACTCCCACCAAGAGGATTAGGTAGGAAAGAAAAAGAGATGGTAGGCACAACCAAAGCTAAGCAGACCAGGAAGCACTATGAGCTTCTGCACAGACCAACTTGGGAACCCTGAATGTCTTTGTTCTTGGA